TCAAATGTTGTCATGGAAACTTAAAATTCTTTGAAAAGGATTGATATTATCCTCTCATTCTAGTAAGAAACATGTTATATTGCCTTGCATCTTAAAATTAGGTATAAAATTAGCACTTAAACTGTTACTACCTCAAACAGGACTCCTCTTTCATGAACTTAATAAAAATTATGATAAAATAAAGACAACATAAAATTACTATCGTAATCATTTGTAAGTGTACAGTTCAGTGACATTAAGTACATTCAAACTGTTGTGCAAGAATCACCACCATCCATCTCCAGAACTCTCTTCATCTTACTAAACTAAAACTCTTCACCCATTAGACAATATCCCCATTCCACTCTCCCTGCCACCCTGGCAACTATCATTCTACTTTCCGTCTATATAAATTTGACTACTCCAGGGTGGAATCACACAGTATTTGTCCTTCTGTGACTGGCTTACTTCACCTCGCATAATATCCTCAAGGTTCATCCACGTTATAGCATGTGTCAGAATTTATTTTCCTATTTCTTATTGCGGTAAAAAAATGCATAACATATAATTGACTGTCTTAACCATTTTTAAGTGTACAGTACAGCACTATTAACTATATGCATATTGTGGTGCAACAGATTTTTAGAACTTTTTCATCTTGTAAATCTGAAACTCTAGTCATTGAACCACAACTCCCTTTCTCCCCCTCCTTCAGCTCCTGGCAACCACACTTCTACTTTTTGTTTCATGTAAGTGGAATTATGCAGTCTTTTTCTTTTATGACTGACTTATTTGACTTAGCATAGTGTCCTCAATTTTCATGCAAGTTGAAGCATATGATGTTTCTTTCCTCCTTTTTTAAGGCTAAAATAATCTTCCATTGTATGTATACACCACATTTTCTTTGTTTTTGTTTGTTTTTGAGACAGGGTCTCACTCTGTCACCCAGGCTAGACTGCAGTGGCATGATCTCGGCTCACTGCAACCTCCTGGGCTCAAGAGATCCTCCTGCCTCAGCCTCCTGAGTAGCTGGGACTACAAGTGCGTGCCACCATGCCTGGGTAATTTCATTTTTTGTAGAGATGAGATCTCACTACGTTGCACAGGCTGGTCTTGAACTCCTGAACTCAAGCGCGCTTCCTCCCTCAGTTTCCCAAAGTTCTGGGACTACAGGTGTGAGCCACCACGACTGGTAGGCCAACCATTTACTGGTCTACAGACATGAGGTTGCTTCCACCTCTTGGCTATTGTGAATAATGCTACAACGAACATGATTGTGCAAATATCTCTTCAAGATCCTCTTTTCAATTCTTTTGGATATATTCTCAGAAGTGGGACTGCTGTATCATATGCTAATTTTATCTTTAATTTTTTGAGGAACCTACATACTATTTTCCATAGCAGCTGCACTGTTTTACATTCCCATCAATGGTACACAAAGGTTCCAATTTTCTACATCCTCACGAACACTTGTGTGATTTTAGGAGTGTTTTTTTATAGTAGCTCTTCAGATAGTCTAGATATTAATTCCTTACCAGATATCTGATTTATAAGTATCTTCTATGGGTTGACTTTTCACTTCTGTTGATTTTTGTCCCTTGATGTACAGTTTTCAATTGTGACGTAATCCAATTTATGTATTTTTTTCTTTTGTTGCCTGTGCTTTTGGTGCAATTTGGTGCCATTCAATAAACTATTGCCAAATGCATTGCCATGCAGCTTTCCCCTACGTTTTCTTCTAAGAGTTTCTGCAGTTTTAGCTCCTACGTTTAGGCTCTTTCATGGACTTTACACTATCCCCTCTTACAGACTTGAAAATTTCCCACTTAAGTTTGAATTATATATTAAAGCTATTCCTCTCTGAAATTAACGATTGAGGTTTATATATTTGAGGCTGAAGGGTCTGTGTATTTTCTAACAGAAATATACTGTAACAACATGCAGACATAGATTCTAATAAAAATTACTTGCTACTCTTGAATCAACTTGCACCTCAAACGATAGAAAAGATAAGTGAATGGCCAGGTGTGTGGCTCATACGTGTAATCCCAGTACTTTGAGAGGCCGAGGAGGGAGGATTACTTAAGGCTAGGAGTTTGACACCAGCCTGGATAACATGGTGATACCTCATTGCCACATAAAGTAAAAAAATTATCTGGGCATGGTGACACATGCCTATAGTCCCAGTTGCTCAGGAGGCTGAAGCAGGAGAACCACTTGAGCCCAGAAGTACAAGGCTGCAGTGAACCATAACTGTGCCACTGTCCTACAGACCAGACTACTGCACTTTACTCTGTCTTTTAAGCAAGAAGAAAAAGAAAAAAAATCAGGTAACTTACAAAGACAAAAGAAGGAAAAATAATGCAAAAAGCAGAGAAATAATTCTCTCAGTGACAAGGGTAATATTGGAATTAAATCTTACCAGGTCTAGTTTTAAGTTACCAATTCAAACAACAGCATAGGTTCTTTTGAGAAGTTCAGAAATTTCAAGTTAGGGTTGCTACTCAAATAAGGTATTTAGGCCCCTATACCAAAGGCTCTCTCTCTGATATAATTTTATAGCTTTTCTATTTGCCTGTTAACATTTTGTCTTCTCTATCCTCCATCATTGTACTTCTTGATGCTGTCATTTTCTATGGCTACCTTATTGACTTATTATTCATACAGCTGGCACAAAATCCCAATGGTACCTTTGTAGCTAGGCACCAATTTAACAAGTCTGTTTTCTGAAATAATGTTTATTCATTAATAAATCTTGAGCACCTACTTTGTGCAAGACACAGTGAGAAATACAAAGCTGTAAAACCCACCAGGAGGGTCTTCTTAACTAAACCTGAACAGGCCACAGTCAGTATTATATTCACTTAGAAGGATACCAGCCTGGAAACAAAGCATACCAGCAGGGGAGCATGGGGCATTTCTCCTCCAGGAAACATCTCAGCAGGCCACACAGCTAACAAGGACCTAGCTCTCTTCTAGCCCTCCAGATGACAGCTCAGGTTCAAGGGATCAAGACTCACAACCAGTGGGTTTGAGAAGACATGTTGGAAGATAGTTCAAGACTAGATCATAGCTTCGAATGATAGCATAAGACATATAGACTTTTATTTTTTACTATGGATGCTTTCTGAGCAAGGGGTTAGCATTGATTGAAGCTCTAGGAATATTAACATGGCAGCAGTATATAAGAGAGCTAAAACTAGACAGAAATTGGAGGCAGAAAGACTATTACATTCCATTAGTGGAATAATATTAATAATTATAATGATAATAGCAGCAGCCAATAATTTTTCTTAGCAACTTAATATTTGCCAGATACTGTTCTAAGCATTGTTCATGTATCAAGTCCTCATAACAATCCTATGAAGTATATTAGGTATGAATATTGTCCTTATTTCATAGATGTGGAAACGGAGGCAAGGAGAAGTCAAGTACTTTGCCCAGGGTCTCACAGCCAGTGAGTGGTAGGAGCAACATTTGAACCCAAACAATCGCACTCCGGAGCGTATACTTTTAACCACTCAACCACATCACTTGTCAGAGTATACTCACATTGTCTAAAATTCTGGAAAAACCCTTAAGGAAGGGCTCACCTCTCCCTAAGAAACCTTATAATGATGACGCTGGTAGTTCTGGTAAGAGGCTCAGCAACAACACATGTGGGGATACCATATGGGAATAAAAAATGAGATCGTGAAGAGTGGTTGGCAGTTCTTTATTCAAGTGCCTACCAAGTGTTCAGTATTCTTCATACATCATCTTACTTAATCTTCATAACAATGTATGAGGGAGTATTATTTTTAATCCACATTTTTTCAGATGAGGAAACCTAGGCTCAGAGAACTTTTACCCTTTACCCTTATTACAGAGGCAGTCAGTGACAGTCAGCACTGGAATCCAACCCAAATCAACCCATGCTATCCTATGCTGAGGGCATGGAACAATGGAACAGGGACACTGCCAGCCTGGAAGGCTGCAGTCCTCCCACCTTCAGAAGGCTGGCATCCCCAACAGGAAGACACTGGAGCCATGCTAGTGTGTGCAGAGTTATGGTTCCAGGCTGTCTGTCCACCCAGCCAGAAGTTGTACCCACTGGATACTTGGGTTGGTCCTTGTTTCAAGGAACCAGCACCAGCCTGTGGATCTGGGCAGGACCAAGGCAGCTCTGAGGATTCCTACACACAAAATACAAGCATGAAACCTCAAAGAAATTCAAAAACAGGGGCCTCTAAAAAGGGTGGTTAAAAAAACGATTCTCAGAAAAGAATTGAGGCAAGCCATGTGGACCTGAGGATGGTACCTACAGATAAAATGCCTCAGAGAACAGAGCTAGATTTCAGGAAACTATGTTAGTTTTCTCAGCTAATTCCCCTATGTTTGGCCTCAAAGTCTCTCACAATTATTTTTAGAAAAAGAGCTATGACAGAACATTAAATTTAAAAAGCAGAACACAAAACTATATACACACCGACTCACTGAAAAAGTACTGATGCTGGAATTTTAATTTCTACTTCTTATTTTTTCTGAACTTTTCGAATTTCCTATAATATGCATATGTTACATTGCTAACCAGGGTTATATATATATACACACACACACACATACACACACGTATATATATTATTTCAATATATAAAATTTGTTTCAATTTATATAAATGTGAATTGAAATACTTTTAACCAATCCTTGGGAAGGGGGAGCAAGAAACAAATTTTACCTAGAGTGGTTTAGTAATTTCCAAACACTCAACAGACTACATCAAAGTCACCTGAGATATTTATTTAAAAAATACTAACTTCCAGAGCGCAAAGACCCACTCAGTCAGAATTTTGCTGGGTGAGGCCCAGGAATCTGGAGTTTAACAAGCTCCCTGGGTGACTATAATATTTTTTAGCAAGGAAGTCCAAAATTACTTCAATTATCTAAGGTTCCTTGATAATTTATTTAACACTAGGGCAAATTTATATTTAACAAAGAGAACAAGGTGATAGGACATAGATTTGGATGGCCTAATGTCTCACCATTCATCTCTGCAAACTTCTGAACATCACTCAGAGTTTTCAGTTCTTGCCTTGGACATGCTGCTACACACAGTGCTACAGACTTAATCTTCCGGTTTATCAAGTCCAGGTTGCATGGATCCAAAAAGAATACATACCTAAAGCATGGAGAAAAAACTGAGATATTATTTCACAAAACACATTGTGCATATTTGACTAAGCCTAGAGCAAAGAACATCTATTCCACATTCCTCCACGATAAAAATCTCATCATAAATACATTTTTTAAAAATTGCTTATAAACAGACTAACAGTGGGAATAGGGGAATTGTAGGATTCATAATTATCATGATCTATTTTTCTAATATTTAAATGTTTGTATTGTACACATGCATATTTTATAATCAGAAATCATCTATTTTAGTTTTCTTCAAATCATTAATTTTTTATTTTGTCAAACTTGTACCAAAAAAATTATTGGAATATCATAATACTGCTATATAATATAGCATGAATTGCAGTTTATATATAAACTGTAAACTTTAGTTAATAAATATAATTCATTCATTATATATAATTCATATAAACAGAATTATATAATTCCAAAAATGAATATATATTATAGATATCAATGAATATATACAACTGAATATATAAAGTTAAATGGAGACTAGAGGGAAATACACCAACATTTCAACTACAGTCATCTCTGGGTATTAAAATAAAGTGATTTTTAATTTATTTTACCTTTCATAATCCGCATCTTCTAGAAAGAATGCCAATTACTTTTGAGCTGATATAACTGCAGTAAATATTGTTTATTAATAGTTAAATACTGTCCATTACAGATAGACAAAATAATCCCCAAATCTGAAATTATACCCTTTAAGTTCTGTATACTTGTATTTTAGGAAAGGGAAGATTAATTAGAAAGCATACTGAAGCATGTATTTTTAATGTTATAAAGTAGATGAGATGATAAAGATTGTAGATTTTAACATTTGCTCAAAGAGAAAATAAGGGCTAAACATTCTCAACTGAGATAAGCTAAGTGCAATAATACGGATCAAGGAAGGGAGTACAAGAAGGAATGCTTCCACCTAAAATGAATCTCCAGCCAGGGTTCAATTCCACTGAGTTCATAAGAAGTTTTATAAAATCATGCATCTGTCAATAGCCTTTCACACGGTTAAACTCTGTTGCTATGCAAAATGTGGTTTCAAATCTGGAACAGGAAATATAACCAAATATAAAAATTAGGAGAACAAACTGAAAAGCAGAAAAGGTAAAGTCAATACATATGCTAAAATGGAAACTTTTATATGAAGGGGAAAAAAAAGTGGGAAAAAAAAGTAAGAAAAAAAAGGGGGGCAACTACAGAGGCCTTTGCAGATCAAGTAATTCTGCACACTTCAGTACAGCAACGGGTCTGGGAACCCGGCATGAAGTTCAGGTATAACTTACCAAACTGAAAGAAAACAACAACAAAAAAACGTGTGTGTGACCCTATCAGTGACTCCAAACCAGTGACTCCAAATGTTCTATCTATACAGATAGAAGGAAAGAAAAAAAGCCAGGCAAGATGAAGTTTAGAAGTAGGTTTTGTGGACTGTTTCCATGGCTGATAACAAGGAAGTAGGGCATACAGAGAATTGTTTCTGGCAACTTCTGAGTAGAAACAAGCATTCTCTTACTAATTCTCCCTTCTTCTATCCTGGGCGTCTGACTAAGCATGCCTATGCCTGTGACCCTGTATAATGAATTGCACAAAGACAGATCATGGACAGGGAACAATCAGGTCCTTGAAAAATGTGTCATAAAACCTTTGAATCAACCACTACTGCTATCACCACCACCACGACCACCACGACCACCACCACCACCACCACCACCATCACTGCTACCATTGCCATTACCACCACTATCACTACTAAGAACACTTTTTTTTTTTTTTTTTGAGATGGAGTTCTGCTCTGTCACACAGGCTGGAGTACAATGGCATGGTCTCAGCTCACTGCAACCTCAGCCTCCCAGGTTCAAACGATTCTCCTGCCTCAGCCTCCTGAGTAGCTGGAATTACAGGCGCCTGCTACCACACCTGGCTAATTTTTGTATTTTTAGTAGAGACAGGGGTTTCACCGTGTTGGCCAGGCTGGTCTTGAACTCCTGATCTCAGGTGGTCCACCCACCTTGGCCTCCCAAAGTGCTGGGATTACAGGTATGAGCCACTGCGCCTGGCCTAATAATACTTAATGATAAAGACTTTAAAAAATGATAGCCAATTTTATTGAGTACTTACTATTAATCAGACACTGTATTAAACCCTTTACATATATTAACTCATATAATTCTCACAGTAATTCTGTTGTGTGTTTCTCTATGGGGTGGGAGTTGGGCAGTGGAACTGGGATGAGAGAGAGGCATTGAGTACACAGTTCTAAGTGATAAGCAATGCCTTGAGAACCATCTGGGGAATCACACCACAGTAGAAAAAGCAGCTTAGGGAAAAGGAAAAAAAAGCCAGAAGCTGCCTGGGCCTTGTTGCTGGGCCTAGGCTGGATCAATGACAACCTCTTGAGAATAGATGCACTGTCCGTCCTGCAGGCTTCAGCCTCCTCCAAGGGCAAAAGTATCCCTATTACATTTCTAACTTCTTTTACACCTTAAAATATTCCTTTGACTTATGCTAGTGACCGGGCAGCAACCTTATCCCTTGCTTTAGTCAGACCAATGTGAACTTGCTTTCTGGTTCTCTCTTAATAGTTCTCTGACCTTGGAAAATATATTTATCCTTCTGACCCTCAGTTTCGTTATCTGAAAAATTACGTATCACCTATTTTATAGTTTGTTGTAATGTGATCAATAATATATATTAAGCACCTAACATAGCATGCACTCAGTGATTTGTGTCATTACCACAAAGAATGCTATTTGCTTTCCACACATTTTACATTTCATAGTAAGGAACTAAACTCAACACTTTCTTATATGGGCATAAAACAGGGATACAATACTAATATTTAGTTTTCATTTAGAAAAAAAAAAAAAATCTGTGTATCAGTATTCATGACTAAGGGTAAAGTCATTACCCCCTTGAGAACCAAGTACGCTGCCAAAACAGATCCAGCACAAGGAAAACAAGAACAGGAGGGCGAGAAGAATGCTACCATGACTATAACTCTCTGAAATTAACACTGCACATTTTTCAGCCTGTGTATGTGGTTTGAAAATATCTAAAAACTTACTTGAAATGATATCTTCAAGAAATACACACTCACACACATCACATGCTTACACTCCATATCTTACCTGCCCTCCATAGTCTAAGAATATATTAAGCTGGGTAGGTGCAGTGGCTCAAGCCTGTAAACCCAGCACTTTGGGAGGCCAAGACGGGCAGATCATTTGAGGTCAGGAGTTCGAGACAAGCCTGGACAACATGGTGAAATCCCATCTCTACTAAAAACACAAAAATTAGCTGAGTGTGGTGGCGGGCAACTGTAATTCCAGCTACTTGGAAGGCTGAGGCAGGAGAATCGCTTGAACCTGGGAGGCAGAGGTTGCAGTGAGCCGAGATGGCGCCACCGCACTCCAGCCTGGGCGACAGAGTGAAATTGTGTCTCAAAAAAAAAAAAAAAAAAAAGCAAAAAGAAAGAAGGAAAAGAGAAGATACTAAGCTTAATTCTCTATGCATTTCACATATTCAAATGCACACACATAAAGTTAAAAATAACATGGAAACCTTGATCGTAGGTCCAGATTCTATTAACATTTGTTGGGTGTTTAGGTATTAGTCACTGTCACATTCAAGACCTTATTTGATCTTTGCAACAACTCTGTGAGGTAGGGGTCATAACCATTCCAAAGATGTTAAAACTGAGGCCTTGAGGCCTAATCACCAGGCCCAAGAGAGCTAGTAGGTGCCAAAGCATGAATTCAAACCTAGTACCTCTGATTCTGAGTTTCACTGTTTCCATTCTGCACTATTCCAAAATATTTCCTACAAATATCATTAGTAACTTTAACTGTTCTCTATTAACTTTGAATATTGTTTCCAGCATTCTGAAGTTCATCCAATCCATGGCAACATGCTTGCAAGTAATTATATTTTAACTAATTCATATTTAACTGAATATTTACAGAGGAGGCAAAGTGCATGTATCAAACCAATTTATGATTTATTAAAATTGCACTTTCTCGCCTTTTGATTTGAAAATGTCCTTAACCAGGTAAATAAATGCTTACATTAGTTTTTCACTTTTCAGTTTAAACAAAATGAACTGATAGTTTTATTTTTATTTTTAGACAATGAAACAAATAATCGTAATAAGCATGGCACTGACAAACCAGATTATTGTAACTGAAAACTACAGATGAGTATTTCAGCTGAGAGGGTAACACACAGTATCCGCCTAGTTTCACTCCCGACAGGGCAAGGATCAGGCAAGAGATGCAGCACATACATTTTGAAAAAGCTTCTCAGGCCACTCTGATTATTTGCCTTGGCCTTCATACCTCCTCCTTCTCTACGCCATCTCCAAGGTGGAGAGCCCATGTCACAGATATTCCATAAACCTAAGTTAAGAGCAAGTTTGTCATTGTCATCCTCAGTGAATCTTTTACTGAGCCTTTTGATAATTTAAATACAGGTTTAAGTTTCACATCCTTTAGAGGAACAGGAATAAATAAAATACCAAAAGTGAGAATGAAAGACAAGAAGCAGTAAGAGAAAAATACTCTATAAACAAAACAGCCTAGATACCTGCAGGCATTGGCATATACAATATGCACAGAGCATGATCAGATGATACAGAAATGCATTTGCAAAGGGAATTGCAAAACAGCCTAAGTAAGCTTTGAACTTAAAAGGTAGATGGGAATGGAGAAAAATGCTCAGACCAAACTGCAAAGCAAACATTACAGAGGACAGCAGGTAAGGCATGTAAATGTGTATTTATTACAGTTGGGGTGGTTTCCAGAAATTATTTGAGGAACAGAAAAAGGTTTATTTTTAAATGGATATTTTTGAGATACAATAACAAATTATCCCAAAAGGTAGGAAAAGGAGAGATGTCTAAATAAAATGCTGTGTCTACGCAGTGAATGAGGGGGACAGATGCACCAAAGATGAAAACAGGATGAGACAAAGGAGGGACAT